ACAAGAGGAGGAGGAGGAGGAGGAGGAGAAGGAGAGGAGGAGGAGGAGCACCACCCCCATTAGCGCAGCAGGTCTGCAATCCCCGAGCGACGGAAGGCGGCCTGCCTGGCGCGGGTTTCGATGGACTTGGCAGTGAAGGCAGGGTCGGGAGGAGGAGGAGGAGGAGGAGGAGGAGGAGGAGGAGGAGGACGAGGAGGTGGGGGAAAAGAGGAGGACGAACTGCAGGAGGAGAAGGCGGAGCAGCAGCAGGAGGAGCAGGAGGAGGCGGGAGAAAAGGGGGTCTGCCGAGCGCGGCGCCCGCGGCGATCGTCAGCAGGACCAGCGACTGCTCGCAGGTCGGCGCGCCCCGCGCCCACCTGGGCGGGCGCCGCGGCCGCGCCGGGCTGGGCGCCACCAGCTGCAGCCCCGCCACCACCGCGCTCAAGGCCGCGTACCTATCCGGGACGTGCACCCCCACCCGCACCCGCAGCTCCACGGCAGTGGAGGCGGGCCCGTGGCCCAGACTTCCTCAATCACACCGGCATTTGTTTCGTTATTTTCGGCCTCCGGGGGCGCTTACTGGGCCTCGGAAGTGCAAACAAACTGCGCAGGATGACCAGCCGGTCCGGGGAATAGGTCCACACCTCTGGGGTTCGACGTTGGCAAAAAAACGCGACGTCGGGGGCTTGGGCCCACGGCAATGGAGGCGGGCCCGTGGTAGCCCCTCGCAAGGCCCGCGCATCAGAGCAGGTTCCATGGGGCAGCGCTGGGGGATGTGCTCAAGTGGGGGGGGGTAGAGGCCCGAGGTTTCCGGGTGTTTCGAAGCTTCTCGGCGGACCTGGCCCGGCCCTTGGACCGTCAAACGACTCGAGATGAAAACGGATCCATGGGCAGTGGTCGGGACTTACGGAGCCTCCATAGTGGAACGTCAAAACCTCGCGCGCACGGTCATGCTACAAGAAGGGACGCTGCGCCAAAAGCCAAGGAGCTTTTCTAGCCACTGCGAGCCTCCGCCACGGATAGGTTCACCGACCTGGATTTGAACAGCGGCCCGAAGACCAGAACCCCTTCTGAATCCAACGTGGTCTTTCTTTCTGCGTCTCCACCCTCCCAGGAGGCTCTCCTCTGCCCACGTCCAGTGCACATGACCGCCCAGGGGCCTCTGGGACCGCCCGGGAGCGCCTGGGAGCACCTGGGCGTTGGGAGCTCCCTGGGCACGCCGTGGGAGCGCACTGGTGGGAACGCTTGGGAGCGCCTGGGAACGCCTGGGCGCGCCTGGCTCGTAGGCGGTCCCAGTGGCTCCCAGGCGCTCCCAAGCGCTCCCAGTGCGCTCCCAAGCGCTCCCAGGCACCTCGCTCCCCGCCCCGTCGGCCCCCTCGCGCCTCCCTCTCGCCCCCTTGCCCCCCCCCTCCCCCCCACCGGTCCCCTTCTCGGCCTGATGGGCCCAGGCGCCCGGATCCTTCTCCACGCCTCCTCTGGGCCCCCGCGCAGCCGAACACGTCCTGCGGTCTCCGTGCGCCTGGAACAAGAAGCCGCGCTGGGCCGGGCCTCCCTGCCGGGGCCCTGGAGGGCCAAGCGCGGAGAGGCCTGCGGAGCGCCCGCAGTCGGGAACCTGTGCTCGGCGCGCCGCGGAGGTGGCCCCGGCGACACGCCGTGCCGCGCGAAGGGGCGGCGCGTCGCTCCGCTCCGCGGGGCGGGGGGGCCGGGAGAGGCTCGGGGCGCTGACGCCCGGCGACCGAGACGCGGTCAGCACGTCGCACCGGAGCGCGGTGGGCGAGAACTGGCGGCGCGGCACGCTGAGCTCAGGTCGGGCATGCCCTCCTACAGGCGGATGCCGGAGAGAAAAGCGAAACAGAGCCACCAACATATATTCAAGCATAGCACTCACAAGAAGCATCGTCCCGAGACTACCTTTTGACTGTTCTTGTTGAAGATTCCCCCTGTCGAGGGGCACGCCCGACGGAACGCCAAGCCAAAGCTCCCAACCCCATCCGAGGCCTTGCACCAGGTGAGCGTTTTCATATTCGGCGTTTCGGCATCAGGCGGAAGGGGGGGGGAGAGGGGGGGGGTCTGGCTCCGGATCTCTGCTTAGTGCGACTGTTTGTAACGGTGCGTCCTTCGGGGGAGACGCCACCTGCCTGAAGCAGGCGCCAACAAAAAACAGCCAAGATCTACTCCATGGGGGGGGAGGGGGGGCGAGGGCCCGCGCCGATCGGCAAAACGATGAATAAGGAAACGATCACCAGGAACGAAGCGCCCAATTGTCCCAAGGCTGGCCAGGGGGCCTCCCCGCTGGGGCAGCGGAGGGCACGGCACGGAACAAAACCAGGCCCGTGGAGCGCCAAGGCCCCCCCCCCACGAGGGCTGCCAGAGCCTTCGTCGTCCACCTCCTCCTCCTCTTACTTTTCCTCCTCCTCCTCTTCTCCTCCTATTTCCTCCTCCTGCTCCTCCTCTTTCTCCTCCTCCTCCTCCTCCTCCTCCTCCTCCTCCTCCTCCTCCTCCTCGTCCTCCTACTCTTCTTCCTCCTCCCCCTCCTACTCTTCTTCCTCCTCCTCCTCGTCTTCTCCTCCTTCCTCCTCCTTCTTTGACGCAGCGCGAAGTGGGGGACTGAGCCTGTAGCGCACGTTCCTGTTCCTCCTCCTCCGCCTCCTCCTCCTCCTCCTGCTCGTGTTCCCGTCCTCTTCCTCCTCGGCCTCCTCTTCCTCCTCCTGCTCCTCCGCCCCCTCCTCCTCCTCCTCCTCCTCCTCCTCCTCCTCGGCCTCCTCCTCGTCGCCCATCCCTTCCTCCTCTTCCTTCTCCCCTTCGTTCTGTCCCACTCGTCCTCCTCGTCCTCCTCCTCCTCCACCTCCTCCTCCTCCTCCTCCTCGCCCTCGCCCTCGTCCTCCTCGTCCTCGTCTTCGCGCTGGGTCCGAACAGCCGCGGCGCTCCCGACTGCGGCGCCTCCCCGCCACCTGCCGCTGCAGCCCGCCCCCGTCCCCCTCCGAGGCAGCAGGCGGCGGCCTCGCCCCCCCCCCCCCCCCCCCGGGGGCGCCACACGATCGTCGTGTCGACGGGGGCGGGCGGGGCGGCGTCCTTGTCGGGGGCATGCGGGCCGAAGCCGCCCCCTCGCGCCGTGAAGAAGAACAGCGGGCGTCTGTTTGGTCGTTGTTGTTGTTGTTGTTGTTGAACATTATTACTTCTAAAGAATAATTATTGTTGGGACCCCTGGTACACGACCCCCCTCCAAAACCTAGGCCGCAGCTACATTTTCATCATTTTTTCGCGAAAGCTTCAGAAAAGTGGATTAGTACCGGATCCGGTTGTTTTGTTCCCCCCCGTTTTCCCTTGCAAAAAACACTATAAAATGAATTTTCTTGTTCAAATGTAATCCAATTTCAAGAATCCCTTGCAAAAAATAAGCTAAAGTGGACATTCGCGCGTGCAAGACGAAATCCTTCCAAAACCTTAGGTTTCGGAACGATTTCAACATAAAAACATCAAAAACCCAATGGTTTTTCAACAAAAAAATGACAAAATCTCATCCCGCGCGCTCTTGCGGATTCGTAGGAAAACCAACACTTTTTAAACATTTCTGTCAAACGGGCTTTTGCGAGCAACTTTTTCGAACTTCTGCGACAACGGTTGCGCACCTGCCAGGGCCATCATCCCTGTCAAATAATACCATGCGGGACACATTCGTTTTTTCTTCGCGCGCGCACGCCGAAATCTACAAAAACCATTGGGTTTTTAAGAATTTTAGCACCGCTGCCAACGTGGGTGTGTACCCCACGCCAGTGTAGTAGCCACGGTCGTCCGCACGCCACGAAGTGAAGTGTCCCAACGTCATAGGGCGGGAAGCTGGGTTTGGGTGGTCGCGAAGAGTCGTTTGGATATTTGGTAGAGCTTGTAATGCCCCCCCACGAAGTGGGGGTATTGCCTGGTGTCGTATGAAAACCCTGGCACTGGGGAGAACACCACGCGTTCGGGTAAAATGATTGTTGTTGTTGTTGTTGTTGTGGTTGTGTTGTTGTTGTTGTTGCTGCTGTCGTCGGTGTTGTTGCTGCTGTCGGTGCTGTTGTTGTTGTTGTTGCTGCTGCTGTTGTTGCTGTTGGGAGTGTTGTTGTTGGTGTTGCTGTTGTTCTACTAGTTGTTGTTGTGGTGGTGTATACTGCTGCTGTTGGTGGTGGTGTTGTTGTCGATGCTGCTGTTGTGGTTGTTGATATTGTGATTGTTGGTGTGGTTGCTGTTGCGGGTACTGTCGTTGTTGCTGCTGTTGCGTTGTTGCAGCTGCTGCTGCTCACGCTGTCGTCGTCATCGTCGCCGTTGTTGTTGTTTGAACACTCACTACTAAAAAATATTGTTGGTCCCCCTCTAGGTCAAACTGTGTTCTTCGATTGGAGTGCCCTTCCCAGGGATCGTACCTCGATTTGTTTGAGTACTGGAGAATATTGGACCGCAAGGTTAAATCGTTGGCCCACGGTTTACGACAACAGCGGCTCCCGCCTGCTACTTCTTTACAGCTTATACCCAAATCGCGCTCTCCCGTGGGAGTTCCTCAAAATCTACTCCGGCGCCGCGTCCTCGACACTTAGGAATCACGCCGCGCCCCCAACACTCAGGAATCACGCTCTCGCTTTGGCCTCACGATTTATTTTGGAATCGCGCTATCGGTCGAGATCTCCTCGCGATTTTTGAAGGACGCACGCGTCAGCAACCCGCCTGCTCGACCTTGCCACCTGGGCCCGCCTTCCCGACCCGCCCGCTAGGGTCAACCCACCCGATCTGCCCGTCTGGTTCTGCCACGTGCTTTCTGCTCCTAGCCCCCTTCTGCTACTCTCTCTCTCTCTCTCTTTCTTTCGTGTTCCATACTCCTCCCTCCCCCTTGTCCCTTTATTCCGTTCGTCATCTCTCCCCTATGCCGTAGGGGCTGCATGCAATACGCGTTGCAGGTAAGAGAGATATACCCCAAAGGGGTCCGATCGAATATGAAGAGAGCGGGTATCGAGGGTTTGAAAGATACGTGATGAATGGCATCCAAGCAGGTGAGAGCGAACAGTCTCAAAATGAGTGCTGTTGTTGTTGGCGGTGGTGGTGTTAAGTTGTTGTTGCTGCTGCTGTTGTGGTTGAATACGCTCATTTCTAAAGAAGAATGACTGTTGATATCCAAAAGGGTTCCGCGCGCTATCGCCCCGACGCCGGCTACATTTTCTCTGAAAACGAGGCTCCCGCGCGAGCGTTGGCTTGAGTGTCAAAGTGTGCCATTGGAGGCCCGGCTACGTCGTCAACGGCTTCCGCTCGATACGTCCTCAAAATTTGCCTAGAGACACCTTGGCCAGAGAGGCCCCCGAACTCAGGAAAGGCGCTCTCGCTCGAGACCTCCCCGCAACTCAGTCAAGTTGATGGAGGCCCAGCCACGACAAGGGCTCCTGCTCGATTCTGCTCCTCACAATTTACTCCGAGAGCCCCTGGCCAGGAAGGCCCCCCCGAACTCAGGAACGGCGCTCTCGCTTGATACTTTCTCGTGATTCAGTCAAACCTGTGGAGGCCCAACTACGACGACAAGGGCTCTCGTTCGATACTTCCTCAAGATCTATTCGCAGAGGCCCTCGCCAGAGAGGCCCCCGAACTCAAGAGTGGCGCTCTCGCTCAAGATTTCCTCTCAATTCAAGCAAAGTTGGTGGAGGCCCAGACACGGCGACAAGGGTTCCCGCTCGATGCGTCTCTATATATGTATTCCGAGAGCCCCTCGAATGGCCAAGGAGGGCCCCGGACTCCGGAACGGCGATCTCGCTCAAGAGTTCCTTGCACTTCAGTCAGTGGCCGACAAGGAAAAGACTCCCCCCGAAAAGGGGTGCGATCGAAGACGAAGTGAGCGGGTATCGGGGGTTGGGGTATACAGACTGGAAAACACGAGTGCCAGCAAGGGCGAACAAACTCAAAATCATTATTGTTGTTGTTGGTGCTGTTGTTGTTGCTGTTGTTGGTTTCGGCCTCTTGGGGACGCCGTGCCCCAGAACCGTCAACAAAAGCACTCGGGATGAAAAGCTGGTCCCAGGGAATGGTGCGAGACCTCTTTGCAGCCCTCGCGGATCGGCTCGGGGTGGGATACCTGGCTCAGGCGCGCGCGAACATGGATCGGGCATCCCTGGATCTGGCGAGTTGGCGCCAGAACCTTGGATCGGGAAGGGTACCATTGGTCGGGCATGTTTTCCAACAGACGGATTTTCAAGGACAAATGAGAATAGCCAAAAAATATTTCAACTAATGACCACAAATAGTCGGCACATCGTGCCCAGACAATTTTCTGACTATTTTTCAATTCTCTCCTGTAGAGGGACAGGCCCGAGTCAAGGGCACCGCGAAAGCGTGGGGCCGATGCCGTCTCGCACGGAAGCGGGGCCCGTCGCTGATCCACGCGCCTTCGTACATGTTTTCGTCGTCGACGTCGTGGCTGTCGTCGTCGTCGTCGTCGCCGTCGTCGTCGTCGTGGTTTTCGTTGCCGTCGTCGTTGTCGTCGTGGTTGTCGTTCTCGCCGTCGCCGTCGGCGTCGCCGTCGCCGTCGTCCACACGACGGCTCACGAGGGGCACGGGCCCTGGCCCCGGCGGCTTTCCCCCGGCACCCGCCCTCGAGGAGCGGATCTCCGGGGCGCACCATGCTCAGGAGGGCAAAAAAACACAGACGCAATGAATCGCCGATTCCCCAGAAAAGATGGGAAACTAATATGGGAAGTGGGGGGAAGACAAAACCCAGAAAATATTGGAAACATGGGGAATAGTTTTATTTGTATGTATAGTTTTATTTGTATGTATTTATTTGTGTGTCCGGAGTCCCCTTCACATGCAAAAGATGCGGCTGCAGCCCGTGCGGTGGCCTTCGGAAGTCCTCCCAGGACAACCTCACCGCACGGTCTTGGGGCCCCTGGGAAGCCTCCCTGAGATCCTGGCGTCTGCTTTCTCGAGCCGGGCGTTTTCGCTCTTCCTCGGCCCCCGGGACCCTCACAGATCGATGCGCCTTGAAAAATGACGCAGGAAGATAGGGTCTTTGGGGTTCGGGGCGTGATGTCTCAGGGTGATACAACTTGTTCGCTACGTCGGAGCTTAGGGCTCGCAGAAAAACACAAGTCCGCGAATCGCGCGGCCACCCCGAAACCTCGCCCACTGACAACCCACACGATGAAGCCACCGCACCACTCCGGGGCCCCCGATCTTCCTCCTGAGCAACGCTGCTGACGGTCCTGGGACCCTGGGAAGGTTCCGAGCGTCCAACGCGGAGATTTATGGATGATCACCGCCCGAGGGTTCGACACTTGGGGACCTCGGCAGGTGGTGGACATGAATGTTTTCGAGCAAGGGGGGGCCAAATCAGTCTCCACCGCTGGCCGACGTCCCCGAAGATGTTCCCCTGGCCGGTGGTTCTGGAGACACCCTCGCCTCGGAGAGAGCCCGATTCACGGTATGGTCACCGCACCGTTTGGAAGCCCCCGGCCGTCATCCCTTGAGACCCGACCTGGCTGGGCCACCAAGGGGTCAAACATCATATGAAGGATCCGCAGCGCTAACATGATGCGAACGTGGCGTGATGATGGTAATGATGATGATGATGATGATGATGATGATGATGATGATGATGATGATGATGATGATGATGATGATGACGACGACGATGATGATGATGATGATGACGGAGGCGCTGATGATGCCATTGATATCGGTGGTCATGATGACGATGGTCATGATGTCGGTGGTCATGATGACGGTGAGTCATGATGACGATGGTCATGATGTCGGTGGTCATGATGTCGCTGATTGTGCTGATGATGTCGGTGGTCATGGTGGCGACTACGATGTCGGACATTGCGATAGAGGTACACTATCGAAACAAAAACCACGACCGGAGCCCTGGACCCCATCTTTCTGGCGAGTTTCCCTCGTCGGATGGATCTGTCAGGGTCCCATGGGCCCGAGACGAGGCAACAATCGCCCGTGCTGCGAGAGAATCTGCGACGCCTGGCTCCCCCGGGCCCAGGGGGGGCCCCCCTGCGGAGCCCAGAGACGGCGGAGCACCTTGGGACCCGCCTCTCTCTCCCCAAACTCGGGCTGGGCGAAATGGGGGGATAGCAAAGGGGGGGTTTGAGAGTCAGCTCACGGAGCTGATTATCCCAGCACCTCCCGGCGCTGGAGGCGGCCATGTATCGAGGAATGGGCCCCTCGGTGGGGCCGAAACCAGCTGCATGCAGCCAATTTCGTAACACCCCCTTTCCCTAAGCCCCCCTGTCGTCCGGCCCGACAGGCCCCCGACGTCTCGATTTTTCGGCAAGGTCGACCACCCAGAAGTCTACACCCACTCCCCGGGGCCGTTTTCTCGTCGGGAGTCGTTTCTGGACAGCCCGAGGCCCGGCAAGGGCCCCCATGGGGGCCGAGACTTGGGAAAACCTCCCGTCGTGATTTTTTCATGACCCGAGGGGGGTCTTGGTCTGGACCCCGCGGCGGCTCCTCCGAGGGAGCCCCCGCCGCCGCAGCCGCGCTGGCGCCCTCTGGGGGGGCATCACCCGCAAGGGGCTCCGCGGGCTCTTTTTCGTGCCTCCTCGCGGCCGCGCTGAACGGCTCCGAAAGCGCGCGCCGCCCCCCTCCGAGGGACCCTGAGCCCCTGGCGTTGTCATATGTTTCCCACCCCAGAGATCCGACGCTCCAGAAGCAATCGGAACGGACGGTTTGGGGCTGTTTTCGGCCTCCGGGGGCCCTCGCCGGGCCTCGGGAACGTCAAGGAACGACTCAGGACGACAAACCGGCCCCAGGGAATTTGTCCGGACCTCTGCATGGGGCCCATGCGTAGACAAAACATCAGCCGGATGTCTGGGGGATACGCCCCGGGCGTCTGCACTCCGTTTAATGGGCCCCCCTGTGCCCTCACAGATCAATCCGGCTCGTGACATGGAGCAGGATGATGGGGTCTTTGGGGTTCGGGGCGTGATGCTTTAGGGTGGAGCATTTTTTCGCTAGGTCGGATCTCATGGCTCGCAGAGTGATGGGGTCCATGCAAGCGTCTGGTCGCGACTTCCCGCACGCGATGCTGCAATTTGCAACGCCGGACTTCACGGGAGGAGAGCCGCTCGGCCAATATCAGAGGGGGCCGCACGTCTGCGCACACAGGGAAGGTGCGCCGGACCTTCGCCCGAAGCACGGTGCACATACAGTGCGGGCACGGCCGCAAGAAACCCTCGCAAGAAACCCAACCCTGAAAGCCCGCGCGCGAGGTGCAACTGAAGGGGAACCTCGAGCACCCTGAACGCAGCAGCTGCCCTGACGGCCGCGGGAAGTCACCACACAGCGCGCGGAGCGCAGAAACCAAGGGCCCCCTGACGAGAGGCAGATGGCTTCTTGACGCGCGCCCCCACTGTAATCACCCAGACACCACCCGACGCCGTGCCGCTTTCTCGCAGCGCTGGCCCCCCAGAGAGGCCCGGGACCCCCGACGTACCGCGCGCTTTGTCGCAACGATCCTCCACGGACCCCGCTCTCCCGACGACCAGCTCTTCGTCCGCAGTCTCGTCTTCGGACGGCCCCGGGGCCCAGGGGGGGCCCCCACGGAGGCCGAAGACGGCGCCAGGCAAAAAGTCCCGCCGCGAGGCTTCGTTCGCAGCGCGAGAGGGTCTGTAGGTACACGGTGGGGGCGCTGGATCAGAAACCCCGTCGCAGGAGGACGTCCAGGGGCTGGACGCCCAGGCCCCCGACGCCATGACTTGTCCAGGACGTCGACCCCCAGAGGTCTGGACCCCTTCCCCGGACCGGTTTCTCATCCTGAATCATTTTCTGATGTCCTCCTCCGCCCTCCTCCTCCTGCTCCTGCTCCTGCTCCTCCTCCTCCTCCTCCTCCCCCTCCTCCTCCTCCTCCTCCTCCTCCTCCTCCTCCTCCCAGGCCCGGTGAAGGCCGCCCGAGGCCGACAACAGGGAAACACCTCCCGTCGTCAGTTTTGCATCACCCGAGGGGGGGCTGGGAGAGCAGCCGTCGGCCATGGGCGTCACCGCCGCCCTCCTGCCAGAG